TGTAAATAGTTAAAGCCATGTGAAATAACCCCTATGTTTTTTGTTTGGGCAGTTAAATGGTTTCAGCTGCATTTTAATGATGTGTACTTCTTATCGATGAAAATGTTTAATTCATCTATTAAATTAAGCTCTTTTTTTAGCTATTAAGCATGCAGAGGTTTTCTGCAACCTAGAGAACTCTAGCATAACAGGACCAAGTTGTATACATTTTTAAAAGTAATAATTCTCTTTGCAGCTGTCACAATCTGTTTGGTAACACTGTACAGTTCTGCCACTGTTATTCTATGAAATATATCTTTTGCTAATCTCGCATCTTATTTTTTAGGAGATCACAGTCAAGTAACCTCAATTAGAGTAGAGCCAAGATGTAGATCCTTTCATTTATTTGTGATCCATTATGCTCATCAAAGAATTTTACTGCCTTTCCTGTTGCTTAATTTTAGGCATTGTTTATTTGTGAGTATGTATGTTTATTCCCTGTTATCCTTACCACCGTGGATGTCTGCTCCTAACAATCTGACTTGGTATGTGGTTTTACAGACAGTTTTGAGACGGATCTCTGTGTCCTGTCAGAAAACCTTCTTGGCAAACAGACAGATGTTTAATACTTGTTGGTGTCAATATTCATAATATGATAATCTCTTACAGTATATTAGTTTTTGTATCCTTTCCTTGTTTCTCATTTTCAGTACCACTCACTTTTTATTCTGCAGATTTTGTACTATAATTCCCTCATTATCGATATTTTCATTCAAATTACCTTTTTTCTTAAATGTAATTGAGGTAATTAAAATTGAGTATTTGTTTTTTTTTGTTACATTTATTATGACTAGAGATTTTGTTGTGAAAAGCTGAAACATTTAGGTATCTTTTCAATTACGATAATTCATTACAGGTTATTTAAATCCCCAAAAGACCACGGAACACCAGAACATACTGCTTCGGTACACATTTGCTAAGCATGTTATTTGAATTAAAGATTGTAAAATTGCATGATCTCCTTGTGTTGTTGTACTGAAAAACAAAGCAATAGTACTTGGAATAATGCTTATGAGCAATATAAATTATGGCCTCTGTATTAAAATAAAGTACGGGGAAATGTTTGATGTAAATGTCTAATCCAGATGACCGTGCTTAAAAGCTGAGCAAAGCTTTCAAATAATTCACTAAACAAGCGTGTAAACAAATGCCTGAAAATGGAATAGCTAGATAGCAGATTAATGAGGTGGTGCTCGTGCTATCCACATAATAGAGCTGTTTCTCACAAAAGTGTATATTTTCTGGTATGATAGAATCTTATTATTTCTCAATAGAGGTATCTCTCGTTCTCCTTAACTGCAGAGGCCAGACCTTTCTGCTGGAACCTGAAATAACTATTTACCCTCTCATCACTCAGATGTTGCAAATGGAGGTGGAACAGAGTTCATAGATTCAACTAATCTATTAGAGTGTAGATCTGTTATTATACTGTGTGTCTGATTGCTTTTTCCAAGGCAAATTCTTATAAATAGTAATTTAATGGCATAAGATCAAAGATCATTTGCAACAGTTATATTGAGGGATATTAAATGTAATATTTTACCAAATTGTAAGATACATTGAAATAAGTTGTTTCACAGTGAGCAAACTTACGCTACTGTTATAGAATTGTGTTCAACAAGAACAAAGGTGCAAAACTTCAATACCATTAAATGGAACAACAAGTAAGTAGCATTACAAGGATACCAGTAAAGAATGTGCTTTTGATGTCAATAATGGGTGAGCAGGAGTTCCATGATATTAAGATATGTTTAAATATAGAGGTCTGAGGATATCTGCTGTGAGCAAAGCTATTCTTTGGACAGGGATTTGGTCTTGGTCCAGTCTTCAGTGAGATGTTAAACCAAAGTCATGTTCACTATGGACTCCTGACACTTTTAAAGTTCAAGGAGTCCAGAGACAGTTGGACTGCTAAACCTGGTGTCAGACTTACAGTACATCCAGTACAAAGTCATAAAAATGAGACCTTGTGCAAACTGGCACCAGATCTAATTGATATGCTGTCAAATTAAATTGTTTCTATGTTTCCTTCCTTTTACTGATGAATAATTGCGACCTGCTCTAAAATTTCTGATACTAAATTATCATCAATTCAGTCGAGTGTATGTTATTATATAAATTTTATCTTGTGATATTCTGAAAGGGTGTCAGAAGAGAAAACTTAATTCAAACCAAATAATCAGAGCATTTTGGTTCATGGTTTTGGAGTTCTGACAGTAACAGGTGTTTTCCAAAGCCACTTTGAAGGTGAAAACCATTCCTTCATCTTTCAGTCTCAATCCCGTTATAATTCTACACCAGTTTTTAATAGAGTACAGTACATTCTGTTTCTTTCAGTTCTACCCAGCATTAAATTTGCAGCTGGAGGAAATAATGGGAATTTATTTTGTGCAAATGATTTTTGTTTTCTGACAGTGCAGTTAAACGTGTTTGTTGTGCAGGATTACACAAATTGCATTTTGACGGCTGAATTAATTAGAAAATTCATTACTTTCCCGCCTTCTTTCTCAGACAAATCCTTATGAATTTTCATTAAAAAGGGAAATCAATAGCTTAACATCCATTATAGCCTAATGTATTTGTGATCTGGGAGCCCAGATGGTAATGATTGTTTAGGAAATTTAGCAACTGCTTGTCATCCCTTTGCTGCTGTGCAAATGCAATGCCATTAGAGAACTTGTCATTTTTGAGGGATCTGTAATAGTGCAGATCTCACACATCTAATTACAAGTGATCTAATATATATGTGTAATTATACAATTTTTTGATTGGCTATCTGTGCAGACTGATACATAGTGTATATAATGCTTAAGAGGCCATTGTAACAACCATTTGCAAATCTATCTCTCTTTAATATTAATAAGGTTGGTAGTACAACTGTGGCAAAGTGTGGCTGGGACTGGAGAATGCTTTTCATTATTTGAAGAAGTCCATTTCGGTTCAACATCTCTCGAGTTGATGTGCAGTAAAATATGTAAGAATGGTTTCTTATGGTAGTAAATTAAAAGATTGTCACCTGGGCCCATTCATTTCACTTTCTACAGTTATAAGAAATTAATAAAAAGAGCTTTAAGGGAATTCAATTTTATTGCCCTTTGATTTTCTTTGTTTTCCCACATTTGCTCCATGTTAACACTATCAAATCTACTACTACATGATTTTTATTTCTTTGGTAAAACTTTTCATTTTTAATATGTTAAATTTTAGATATTCAGTTAATAAAGAGGTTGAAGCGTTATGAGGAAGGAAAGGCTTTCCATCACCCAAAGTTTATTTCACCTAGTGTCAGTGTCAGAGCAATATACTGTACATAAGGACAATAAATTATAATTAGTTTGTGTAGTCTACGTAAGCCAGCTACTGTGAAGCACTAACCTCATTTCTCAGAACATAAGCACAGTAATTTTCCTGGCTCTAAAAGGTATCGTAAATCAGATGTGTTCTGAAGCACAATTCCTTTAATTTATCCAGTTGAACCACTAGCACATTTCTCTCCTGCAGTAATAGTCTTTATTTTATATCAAGACAGTATCTCACATGACGCGAGGCATGGTGCAGGTCAGTTAGTCCCTAGAGGAGACTAGATAAGTTCGTGCAGAAGCAATTTCTACAAATGTGTTACCAGTCTTTGCACAGTAAACCCTTTCCACAGCTGTTCATTTTTACCCAGTCATTTCCTGAACAAAAAACACAGGCATAAAACTCATCCGCGATGCATCCTAGACATAGATGTTTTTTTCTAGATTAGTTATTGTTTTCTGGCTTAGTTATTGTGGTTCTGACTGGAATATGCTCTGATCTGAGTTTAATATAGTTGATGACTTATGCCAGTTTGGTTTGTGGCTAAGAGCACACGCGAAATGCATTGAACATTCCAGATGTAATTTAAATTAGTCCTATCTTGTTAGCAACAAGTGGATCCAGCCTCTGAAATTGGTCTCTGTAACTGCTTGTAAAATATAGAACAAAACCAAATGGTAGAGCAAATCCACGAGAATCTTGGAACCTCAATGGGTTTTTTTAATCCAAGGGCAGAAGTTTATTTTCCCTTTACTGTTGTACTCCTTTGATTCCAAGCCATATCCTCTTGCCCTGGCCACGTAGACCAGAGAAGTTTTCAGACAGAAAGTTAACCATGGAGTGAAAGTGCTCTTTTAAAAGTTTTATCATTGGATGCTCTGATTGTTGAAACGGCTAATTATGTTTTTTGTTCACTTAAATGGCTTTTTAATTGTGATCTTAAACATGCCCTTGTTTAGCGGTGCACATAAAAAAAAAACATAGGTACTGTCTGTTTTAAGATGTAAGCCAAGACTGAAAGCGGTGTTTCCCCCTCCTATTTCTGTTAAGTCCTCAAAATAAGCAGCTTACCTTGTCCCACTCATTTCCCATCATTCTCATCTCCTCTGCACTTCAACTTGTAAAACAAGAGCTGACCTCTTTCTGGCCCTGCTCTTTCCTATCAGGAAATGTCTCTGTTTGTCTTTGCTGTTCTTGTACTCGAAAACAAAATGGTCATAGATAAGATGAACCAAAGCTGATACCTGTTTTTAAATTGACTTCAATTTGGAAAGAAGAGAACTGCTTCTTCTTTGAATTCATGAAAGTGCCTCCAGAATTTGCCTTCAAACCGATCATATTTGGCTAAAGGCTACAGTATCATCCGTTACATTTTAAACTGTTCTTTTCTTTTCTGGCAGGAGGCAAGAACTGTAAGTTCTGTCTCTGTCCACTGAGGTGGGCAGTGCTGAAGATATAAATTTGCTTTTGCACTGGTGTTGAAAATATTATGGATATTCGAAGATATCCTTGAGAATATTAATTAGTGGAACACAAGTCTCTCTTACAGCTTATATTAAGTTAGTTTATAGGGTGGTGAAGAAAACCACATAGATTTGTGAGTGTAAAATTGGTAGTGGGGAATGACAATAGAATATTTTTCTTCTGTTTCATCTTGACAGCCATCATCACTCCTTTGTGGTTTGGACAACCCACTCTCTCCTTGCTGCTGCTCCGACTTTCCACTTACCAGGGTAAAAGAGAAACTTGCTGTCCAGTCTCTGTCCAGTAGTGTGTCCAGTCCCATTGTCATTAATACTTACTAAAATAAATGACAAAAAGTAGTGTTTGGGTCTGATTAGTCTACAAATGTATTTTTAGTTAATATATGTATACAGTTAATTATTGCACATAACCTTTTTTCAACATCTTGCCATAAACCCAGCATGAGTCTCTATAAGCAAACAGAATTTGTGTGGCAGTAACGCAGTGTGTTCAGTTGTCCTGGCAGTTTGTGGCTTTAAAAAGTGTTTGAAAACAGTTTGTGCTAGTAGCAATTCTGATTTTTCAAATGAATTGAATTGAGCTGGAAAAGAAACTGAACCTTTAGAAAAGGCAGATTTGTTTACAGAAGTCTACATTGTCTAAATGTGTAATTACAACATTAAAAATCATAATTTTGAGCTCAGAATGATGATTGGTCTTTTTCTTATTGGCTTAAACACAAAAGGGTGGAAATACATTTAGATTGTGGAGAGTACAGTCTTTCTTGTAATATCTCATTTTCTATTACCAACCTTTACGACAGAGTTTTAGGTCCACACTGGTTAATTTTGTTCTATTTTAAACTGAGACACAAAGCTTTCCAGCCCACATAATCAGGATGCTGCTGTTAGAAAAACAAACAAGGCACAATCCAGTCTTTTGTTTTCTGCTGGACCAAATAATCTCACATTCTCCCTACCAGGCACTTATAGGATTTAAGTCCTTATAATGCTGTTTACTTCTGTGCCTCAGGTGACTGTTTGTGAAACAATAGGGGGCTTCTTAATATTAAACGTGTGTCTAGAAACGCAATCTTTCACTTCGCAGTTTTTTTCATCATATAATGCTTTCCTCTGTTTCAGTACTTATCCTCTGTGTCGTAATGAAAGATGTCACACCCTTAACAGCCCCTCCCACACACTTTGTCAGAGTGATTTAGTCTCTCTTGGTATGACTGAAAAATGAAGGTTTACTGAACTGTGTGTGTTTCATTAATCATCATTTGTGCTTAAAAAGCACATCATGGCACCTCTATGACCTGACTTGTCATACATCCTTTTGGTCTCTGTTTATTAAGTACTACACGTTAACAACCTAATTTTTGTAGGATGAGATCAGGAACAATAAAACTTCATTAGTTACATACAGCTGCTTTCAGCAATTAAAGCAACACATCTGCTTGCTATTTGTAGCCTTGCTTCTGTTGGCATATGGGTATCCATATTGTTGCATATTTTCCTGCATAGTAATAAATTGGTCACGTGACTTGAAAGCAACATGTTGGTATGATTTTCGTTTTTGTAGTTCTCTTTAACAATTTGTAGACTTTTGCATTAGCTGACTGAAATGCAAAAATGAATGGAAGTCTTCAATCCAAATTGGATATTGTTGGAAGCTGCTTTGAATCAGTTAAATTTAGGTAGTCAAGTTGTCTTACTGTTTCTTTGTAACCAAGATCTGGGTGGTGGAAGCCTTCTAGTATTGAGCCCTACTATACCAATGTAAGTAAAAACCCAAGACACGGACTTCTAAAACCTCCCATGTGTATCAGCTACAATATAGGGTGTGTTGCAAGTGCTTCAGGTATCTTCACAGTTTTAAAAACAAAAGCAGTTCTCCATCCCAGATCCACAGTTTACAGCAAAGGTACACTTGGAATGGGAGAAGTATTGTTACATGATAGATAAAAGTGAAATTAAGTGTTTGGAAGTCACATCAGTGCATCAGTAAAGCAAAAAACGATGTATTATATGAACAGTAGACAGTCATTCTACTCTGTGTCTAATGTACAGTACCTAAAGTTGGTCATTGGGTTTGCAGGCATTCTTGTCACATGTTTTTTGCCCCCCACATGTCACATGTTAACATATCCAAGTTTTTCCTGGACTCCACTCATTTCTAGGCAGAATATTTTTTTGTTGTTTTTTGATTACATTTTCATTTATTTTGTGAGGGTATCCGAAGTACATGAAAGGTGTATTGAGTGTCAGCTAAGAAGCAAGGAAGAACACGTCCTGTAACTCTTGGAATCATAGTTTATTTTCAGAGCTATTTTTGTTCCTTGGTAAATGGTAAACCATTTTTTTTTCCCCTGTCGGTACTTCTATGGAAGTCCTCATGTAGACATGACAGGTGACCCCTGAAGCTAAACCATTTTCCTTTTCTTCTTGTGCCTTTCAGATCACTGGTGGAAGAGGACGACCCTCATATGAAAGTGTCCCTCGGGAGTGGCGATATGGGTGTGTCTGCCCATCTCCAGACATCCAAGACAGGCAACACACGGTTCTTCACGAGCAACACCCATAGTTCTGTCGTTTTACAGGTAAATTCAGAAGTAAGAGGATTGTTTTCTTTGCCAGGCTACTTCATCTAATTGTAAATCAGATCAACAAAAGCTTCAGGAACAGAATTACAAGTGAGCGCTAGAGAGCAATCCGTCTTCGGCCAGTGTCAACAGTCAAACATGAAGAGTGCAGTTGTTTTTAATTTGAATAAATCATTGACATTATCATGCGGCATTATTTTTCTCAGGAGGCTATTCGAAAAATAAGTAGGTAAATAGCAAATTGGAGCTGCCTTCCTGCTGCTACAGAGCTGGTTCCCTTATCAAATGAGAAATGGTGCTTTCTCAGACTTGTTATTGCAGCTTCCCTGGGCTTTGTGTCTCTGAAAATGGGATTAAAATCCATGGATGCACAAGCAGACAGGAAAGCACCTCAGCCTGGCATGTCACCATTAACTCTAGTCTAAATTTGGCTTCACACTGCATTAATCTGGCATTGACACAGAAGGTTTAGTGAAGGAGTGAGGTGGATACTCATTTGCAATCTCAAATGCATGCAAACTTTCTAAGCCTGCTCTGTCAAGATTGGGCTGTTCTGTCAGTAAACATCTTTGTGCAAAGGCTGTGGGGTTTAATTCGCCGCACCACACCAAAGCAATAATGTAAAATGTCATCAGCTGCAAGGACCAAGGGGAAAATAGCCCATTTGACCAATAAACACAACTGTCACAGCTGTGAAATTTCCAAGGGTAAATTAGTTTAATATTTGTCATCGATTACCTTGGGACAATAGAGTTAATTTTTTTTTTCCACTAAAGCATTTTTTAAGGAAGATGAGTAGTGGATGGTATAGGAAGAGATTTGGTATTTTTAGTCAAGATTAAACATACAGTGCAGGACCGAATATGAAATGAAAGATGTATGAAATGTATTAACTTGCACAGGACAGCAGCGTACATTTTAAAGGAGGCTGGGTGAATCTAGTATTGCACTAATATTAGATGTAATACAACGGTATTAGCAAAATAACTCAAAAGACTTACCAAGCAAACCACAGCTGTTAATTGCCATCATAAAGTAATTTCATAAAGTAATTCCAAGAGCATGCGATTACCCCCTTTCCAAACTTAGCTGCAATAATTAAGTAGTTTGGTCCAGTGAAGCAGGAGCTGCCATCTGTTAGTGTCCATTTCAAGCAGGCTGAATATCCAGCACAAGGTCATTCATTCAGCCTCCTACATATGAAGAGTAAGTACCACATAGCAGAACTATTTCTGAGGATTGAAAGTTACATTCTTTTTCACAATGTTATAAAAGTTGTCTCATCACTCAGTTCTGAGATAGCAGAGGTTATTCAATCGGTCAGTTATGATTCCAGTAAGTTATGCAGCGTTAACTACTACTGTATATACTGTCTGTGCTAAAACCACACCCTTGTAGAGCCAAACTGAACTTTCCAGAAACTGTGCATATACAAGCACAGCATCATTCAATGTGATTAGGCACTGACAGTAAGCTCACTCTTGTGATAGACTGTTCAGACTAGCTACCTTTACGAGGGCAAAAACAAACTAGTTCCAGTCCTTAGCTCAGGCATAACATTATTTATTGTAGCATATCTTCCAGTCCCGGGCTCTGTTTGGATTGACCAAACCTCCAGATATTTACTAACCAGGTGAAAGAGATTTAATATACATCCAGTTCTCATTATTCGTTGGGTTTTATAACTATTGAAATGTTGCTTTGTAAAGATACAAAGAAAAACAAAATGTAAATTTAAATCTTAAAGTACTTTGAAAATGTTGTTACTATTAATAAGTTGCAACTACTATATTTACTAGTCAGAATGACATGCAAAATGTGTACATTTTATAAAATAATTTGGACAGTGCTAACTTTAATCATAGTATTTAGTTTACTCCTCATGCTATTTGTAAATTCTAAATAGTTCTAAAAATTGCCCTTTTTAGCGTGTTACTGTAGCTTTTTAATATGTTGTAATTTTTACAAAAATACAGATTTACAGAGTATAAGGTTCAGGGATTTTTTTGCACATTGAGTGAGCTCTTCGTGTTATTTGTGATTTATAAATTTAAAAAGTCAATTTGATTTGTGAAAGCAGGCTACTTTTTAAAATCAAAATAATGTATTCTGTAAATAAAAGTGCTTCTAGATCTGCTGAATATATGATATTTAATTCTAAAATTAATGAACTGTCACTTGAAAGAAACAGAAAATTAAAGGATCTCCACAGTGTTCATGGGGATATTAAACAGTGTGAGATAAATTGAAGATGCATAGTCTAGAAAGGAAGTTTTGAAATATTCTAACATATAAACCTACTTTATTTAAGTGTTTTTTAATCATTTAAATATTTCCTTAATACTTTGGTAGCTAAAAACTTTTTACTACCTACCTGTTTCAAAATTAATGCGAGAAGAAAAAAATGGCTTTCTAAAGAAAGAATACATTTCTGCTAGAATACATTTCTTCATTGCACTAAAATATTTCAGTATACGTGAAACAGTAAATAAGGAAGATGTGATGCTCATGTCTTGATGGAGATGGAGATGTCAGATGGAGATGAGAGCTCAGTATTGCAATTTTTAGTAGGTCTTTGGATTGATAACCAACATGCTGAACCCCAGCAGTGAGCACAGTCACAACATTGATATCAAATATCAGAATTCATATTTTTATTATGAACTTGGTAAGCATACATCGGATAAGACCTAAGGTGTTTAAAACATAATATAAAACATATGATAAAATACAGACTTACCTTTGACTCTATATAAGTTTTGATTTTTTTTTCTCGTTTATGAATTTATAAATGGTCATCTGTTTTCCTTTTCTCTCCCAAACTTATGACTTGACAATTCTCTCTCAGTTCTGCTCTCCCAATTAAGAAAGTTATAAACTGCATGTACATGCTTCAGGAAGTGTAGGGTCTGCTTCTTACCAGGACTCACAACAGTGGCAGTTGAAGGACTATTGCATTTCTGATAATGTTGCAAGAGCACAAATACCAGGTCATTCACTGGGTGGAGCTCTTTGGCATACCACCCAAACCTGATTACTCTTTGCCATTTATCCACTTGTTTAGGGGAATCCTTCTTAAAAATTTCATTACAAAGCCCAGATTGGAACCAGCAAGCAACCTTAAAATAGATACCATAGTTTAGCAAACAGTCATCTGGGACTCTCACATTTCGTAGTGTCTAACTTGCTTGTGTATTACTTTAATTTTAATATTTTTCTACTCAGTTCCAATGTGTCCCATATATATATATACATAAATGTGTTCTGTCATCTGTAGAATTATGAATCTGTCTAGTAAACGAACCTGAAATGTCTCCATGCTTAATGCAATTTTTTATGTAAAGCCGTTTGTATTGCCTGAATATGGAAAAAAGTTTGATTTCTTACTGCAGCTCAAGATAGAATTGCTTCTAAACAATTATTAACTCAGGAAGATCATACATCCTGAGACTGCCAGCCAAAGACCCTTATTTTTTTTTCCGCGTAAATTAACACTTTTCTGAATGCGTGCATTCGCTTTTGAAGTTGTACATTTGTCATAAAATATTAAACATTTATTGCATAGCACTCCAGTGCCCAGCCGAATGGAAAGGAAGGAAACCAGTGTTTGAAAAGTGTAGAACTTTGACCTTTTTTAATTTTTGTTATATTTTTGTAAATATCTTTATTATGGGGCCTTATCTGTAAAAAAATAAAAATTATAGTCAAATCTCAATCCTCTAAGACTTTTAAACCTTGTCAGTTAAAGAAATGAGTTTAAGAGAATATTTTTTTTCCACATTTAATTTAACCGTCTTTTTCACAGAAAAATAAAAATCTTCATAAAAAATTATGAAGATCTTTTTTTCTGCTTTACCACTTGTGTTACTGAAGTTGTGTTCGGATTTAAATTCATAAAAGTCTTCTCATTTTTCAGGTATGACCTTCTCAACTGATACTATGCTTTGTTACAAATAGGCAAATGTAATACAACTCTATTTTGGAATGGAGTACAGTTTTAGTGAAACAGATTTGCAGAGTTATTTTATTGACTTTTTCTAATCTTATTTCTGCGGAGAGAGGAAGCTGAGTTTGTTGCCTTTCTCTTTGCAGATGTGGCAGAAATGTTTAAGTCTTTTGATAATTTTAGCTCTGAAGATTGCAATTAAGGCATTTCATTGTTAAGCAGATAATCTTTGATTCCTGTTTTCAAAGGAATGTCTTACTGCAGCCAGGTGAAGGAACTGAATCCTGAGAAGACAAAAATGCAGTTTGAAGCGAGTTTCAGAATCCTCAAAGGTCAACCCAAAGCAGTCAGGACCCAGATTCACAAGAATAAAATTGGAGCTGACTCTTTGTAACTGATAATAAAAGGCATTTCTTTGCACAGTCATTAGTGCCTGAATAAATCATTAATTTGTGTTTTTTAACCTGTATCCAACTGGATCCATTTTAAAAATGTCTAGATTAGGACATCCTAGACCAGGACCTCCCAAGTGTTGGCCTATGACAGATATTAGGAAGGGGTTTCTCAACCTTTGCACAAACAGGTACTCCTGTGACTTTGCTGGCTACCTGTAGGGTTACAGTTTTCACTCCTCAAGTTGGCACTGACTTTCTTTCTCCGTCACTGTGGAGCTGACAGCTTGTCAAATGATGAATAGCTCTGCGGGTGGGCTTGTCAAAGGGGTGTGTCTACAAGATTTCTCTCTCAAGTGAGTGCTGCAGTTGATGCCAGAGAGTCTTAAAACATGTAATTCTATGTTTTAAAACGTGATGAGATTGTAAGACCCTTGCTCTCCTTAAAATAGCTGTGCAAAAGGTGATCATTGTTAATTATTGGTCTTGTGTCCTATGATTGATTACACATTAATGAATAAATGCTTATAAAAGAGTCCAGTGGAAGGTCTCCTCTCACCAATTTGCATTGAAACCTTTGAAATCAGTGTAAGATTGTTTCTTTTAATGGTGGTAGATAGACAAACAAAGTGAGTCTGGTGTTTCATACATACTTCCAGGCTTATTGCACTGTTTTGTTTCCTCTAATGTAGAAGCAGCTCTCTGAATTCCCTTTGAAGCAATGGGTTGACCACATTGTAGTTCTCCCCATACTTAGCTGAGTTTCTTAGCACTGCTTAATGTGACAGCAGCAATTATACATAGTGGAGGAGTTTGTTTTTTTTCTGCTGCTTGTAATATAAAAGCAAAAGAATCAAGACTTAATCCATTCTGTGTAAATGTTTAGATTTTTTAAGAAGAATGCAAGTTTGTATAAACCGGCCTTTTTGAAACATCTAGCTCATAACCTCAACAGATGCATAGTGCCTTTAATTGGACTTAAATCCTTTTTGTATTGACTATAACCCATATAATACTGAAATAGTTGTGTTGTTTACTAGTGGTACGCTGTCAAAACATAATGTTTTTGCTAAGAAGGTGAATTTTGTGTAACTCAGCCAAGATTTGTGATTTCATTATATAGAATATAATCTATAGTCTAAACATTTAAATCTGTATTTTGTCTCGATTATGATGTGAAAATGGTAAAAGTAAAATGTTAAGAATAAACAACAGTACTTTGCATAGAAGTGACTACTGTAAGTATCGGTGTTAAAGGGACATCTGATGTGGATGGATCTTTAAAGTTGCTTGTTTTTCTAATGTATTTTTATTTGATGCAAATTATTATTAGTATAGCTGATGCAGTCATCCATGTTTTTATGCACTGTGCACTGCCGTTTATTTTAATACCAGTTCTTTTGTGATATATATATATTTAAATATCACATACTGTATACAGTATATAACTTTTAGTGCATTAGTGATCATCGCTAGATGACAGTACCAAGCTCTATTAAGAAGTGAAGCTGTCAATTTACACCATTATTTAACAGAGCTCAGAAATGTTACTGACCAGGCCTGGGTGTACAGTATAAACCACCTAAAGTACCGCATAATGTTGCTACTTGTCTACTGACAGCAGTATGTTCAATTTTCTTTTGCAACCTTTAAAGAGAAGACACAAAAGGGGGCAAGTGGCAAAATTTTCCTTAAATGTTCTCTGTAACTGGCCTAAAATCCAATCCATCCACACATACTTGAATCCCTTCAAAGACTATCCTTCATGAGTTGAGCTCTCTTTTCAGGAACATTTTACCACTATAAAAAATGAGTGGTGAAAAGTGCATTTATGAGGAGGCCATATTCTTTATTTTATTATATTATATCTGTCTGGTCCTGTCTCTTGCACCCCAGCTTCTGCTTTGTCCTCATGTGAGCTGCTGGCTTCTTAACAGGGATTCGACCAGCTGAGGATAGAGGGATTACTCTGCGATGTTACACTGCTGCCTGGAGATGGAGATGAAGCATTTCCTGTTCACAGAGCAATGATGGCGTCTGCTAGCGATTACTTTAAGGCAATGTTTACAGGTAAGATAAATAACTTATGGTAAAAAAAAATCTATTTCCAGTAATAATAATAATAAAAGTTTAAATAGAGCTGGCCTTTGGAAATCCCTACTGTATGGATAGCAATCCGGTAATATAATATACTGACTTCCAGTACTGTATATACCTTAAGACTTGATCCTGGAAAAATACACTTTAACATTCTGTGTCAAAGTTTCATTCATCTCATAAATTACATTTTCTTTCTTTTAGTATAATATAAGCGAATATGTAGTTTTTAAGATGTAAAAATCAGTGGCTGTGGAGTCTTTTCAAGTGTGAGTGAGAGTGTGAGGGAGCAGAAATTTGAAGCAAAGGGGAAGAGCTTTTGATAAGCATCATAACAGGGCTCCCACATCACATCATGCATTGTATCAGCACTGTTGATCACTTGCTTGTAACATACAGACAGTGTAGATTGTATATCTAGGACTGGTTTGTGTGCAGATGTTGAAAATGGGTCTTTCTGCTACTTCTTGAATGTTGGCTCTTGATTTGTTTTAGAAGAAAAATGTGTTTCCTGATGATGTGCTGCTTTAGGTTTGGGTAAATCTGCCTTACCTTCTTAAATCCAATTTCTTTGTCTAACCAAACATGATATAGATATATATGGCTGAAGAATAAATCCAATGAATTCCAAGCAATAACATTTTATAAAGTGTTTTGTATTTTCTGATAATATCTTTGTATGCCGTGTAGATGCATGTTAGCTTTTGGAATGTAGTTTTGTAACAAGATTGATAGCCTTAGAAGCACAGATTTATCAAGTGCAATTTCTGTTTTAAGTATCTTGTGCTTTTATCAGTGACTGTGGATATA